TGGTATTAGAATAAGAGACATGAGTTTTAAACCATTAGAATCCAGTCCCCTATTGTTATTTACACATTTATTTTCAACAATTGGCATTTGTGCAAAGCCTGTTAGTTTTACATTTGGCTTTCAGCCGTTTGTATCCGCGTACTAAACTTGAAATGCCACTTGCAAAGAGGATGCATGTGGAGGATATGAATATAAATTGGTCATTGGAATATAAATTGGGCTACATTCTATTACTTTAATCTTTTAGAAGAACCAGCTAACAATTTAATTATTTCATAATGTCCTCACAAAATTTACTCTAGGTAATGTACACTTACATTTCAGTCGCATGGTATCTCATCACTATAAATTGTTGATGCATATCTTAATACCAGAAAATCTTAATTATGTTCGGTCTTGGAAGACAGTTATTTTTTTTTCTCTCTCTCTCACCTTTTCTTCCTTTCAACACGAGACTCTAGTAACTTCGACATGGGGTGGGGGGGGAGGGGTCAGGGTGGCAAACCAACAAAGCCTTCTTCCAAATCAAGGAAGTTTTTGGTGGTGGAAAGAAAATAGTCCAACACTGCCTTTGAGAAAGAATTGTGTGGTACTTTGAGGATTACAAAAAATGGTTTTTGAAATTGTTTTTCAATGTATCTATCTGATACAAATAGATAGCTTCTCGATGCTCACTACTAATTTTTCTGGTTGAGACGACAGAAGACGTGGAGAAGAAAACTCCGTAAGAGGATTTGGATTTGTTGCTCACATATGGAAGGAACAAATGAATGAGATCATTTGAGCTGTTCAAGTAGAACAAAGATGGAAAGAGGATGATGCTTCTTATGGAGGGAACTGAAGTAGATGGCTGGTGGAGGGTGTTCCATGTAAATGTATGGCTTCAACACGTCAAAGGGAAAGGAGGAGGTACTCATGAAATCAGAATGCTCGAAGAAGGCTAAGGTAAAAGAAAATTCGACCATAAAGGAGGGAGAAAGGAAAAAGAGTAGGTTTTCCTCTCAGGTTGATGCCCAGTGTGCAATAAAGGATTATTGGTGACTATATTGGATTGTGGTAAAAACCGAACCGTCCTTCAAGAAGGCTCTCCCCTACATCAATGTTGTCCATGAACCATCAGTTTCTACCCTTAAGGACAGATAGCTGTTGGCCAACTAATTTTACCTAACTCTAATGTCTAAGCCCACAATAAACAAGCCCGTGTTTTCTTGCCATGAGAAAGGTAAATGGATTAGAAAATTTAAGTGCATTTCCACCAAGAGACCAAATTTGCAAGCTGCCAAAAGTGTCAATACTTTGGATATAAATTCTGGAAAGAAGTCTCTCCTCTATCACCATCTTCTTCTTCGTGTCCAATGAGCCTTCTCTTTATTACAAAGCAAGGGAGTCAATTGTGTTGGGGGAATCAATTGAGGAGGACAAATTGACTCTGTTCAGTTAGAGCTAGCCTCGAAAACATACCTTCCCTTGCTATCAGACCCTGTTTCTTTTTTGGACTCGAAGTAATGCATGTAGATTATTGGGTTTTGGTTTTTATTGAACCTACTACTCTGATTTTGGTGGAAATGCAGTCAGGAAAACATTCTAGTACTCGTAATTGGATAGTTGGTGGGATTAAGCCAATGGTCTCTCAACGACTTCCATGGTTTTGGAATCCCAATGAGTTGTAATAGCGATAATAGAATTAGCAAACTCCTTAGTGGTTAATTTTGAAGGTCTTGAGAGGTAAGTCCTCATGCTTCTTTCTAGGTTGGAACAGAGGATTTAATTAGCGGGAGTACTAAAAGGCATGGGCGAACTCTAGAAGAAAGAGGAAAGTAGGAAGAAAAACTAGAGAATTGAAAAGGTTGGAGTGTCTATTAATTATGAAAGAAGAGTCAAGAAGGATGCTGATACCAAAGAGCAAGGAGATATTATTGCCATCAGTGATAATGATTAGCAAGGTGATTTCCTAGAATGTGGAGAGGTACCAATGATACAAGTAAGAGGGCAAAGATTACAAGGATTTTGAAAAAAAATAGCAGGGGAACCAGTCTGTTTGTAGGAAACAAAGCCAGAAGTTACGAGTGTGGGGAGCGAAATATGTGAAATGGTTTAACCTTCCAACTACTACTTTTACGAGTGGTATTCTCATCGTGCAGTTGTCTCTTTGATTTATTCTCATCAATACTAGATTACCTTATTTTTGCGAGTCTAACCAATTTCGTTTGGCAAATATAACCATTTGTGCATTTGACATGTTATACCAATTAAAGTATTTTTAGGTGGAGTTAAATCAATTAAGGAAGAAATTGGGATCTCTTCTTCCATCAAAAAGCTTCAGTTACCTTATTGGTAATATCTCCAGCATTATCTTCAACAAATTTCCTATTAGGAGCAGTGGCATGTGCAACTTGCAAATTTTCAATTGGCAAACTGCCTGTGCAATGTGCAAGTGTCCCAGTTCTCCTGAGATTGCATCAATTGCGTTTTGCAATGCTTCGAGTTTAGTATTAGTAGCTAACTCGTATTCATCTTGCTTAACATTTAATTTAATGTTAGGTAAGATTATTTAGATTTCTCATCAGACCAATCCATTTGAGGTGACCGATCAAGGGGGCCAATCTTGCCAAACTAGGAGCTCAGGGAAGTCAAATAGATAGAGCAAGCCCTACTCATGGCTAATACGCATATGGCTCACTCACCAGCTTCCAATCACCAAATGGCAGCGAGCTTCTACCAGTCGAGTACACTGAACGTAGGGGTTATAGATCGAGTGGCGCTATTTGGATGGTAGGGTTGTGAATTCAGTTGAAGGATTCTTTTAATTTTGGTACCAACTAATGTACAACAAATTGGGTTAATTTGCCTACTTAGGGAATTTGAGAATAAAAAACTAATATCACACCTTAAGGTTCTTAGATATTACACCTAAGATTTAATTGAATCACACAATTAAGAACTAAGAATTCTCAAAGCATGTTATTGAATAATCGAATGATGATCTCAAGGAGAACATGAAGGTATTTATAGAGTGTTAAGTAAGTTTTTCTTAAATAGGATTAAACTAAGAAATTCTAAAATTAATAAAATTAGAAATACTACTACTAATAAGATAGGAAATACTAATACTAATAAAATTAGAAATACTGCTACTAAGAAAAAAAATAGGAAACATGATATAAACCTGGAAAACATAAAAATAACCTAAATAATATAATTCTTAAATAGTAAATTTACTATTATGCCTATGCGCCCTCATGGTATGTCCATAATGAGTTTCAACAAGTATTGCTTGCTAAATGGCAATATAGGTTCCTCAGCTCCTCTAATACTCTCTGGAGAAAGTAGTTTGTTGCAAAATTCAGCTTAGACGAGGAAGAAAAACAAGGTGCTTTGGCTATAGACCGTGGATGTACATTAATAGGGGGAAGGATGTTTTTATGAATGGCATTAAAATTAGTGTAAAGAATGGCTGCAGAATCAGGTTCTGGTTCGACCAATGCATGGACAGACCATTGAAAGATGTCTTCCATTAAAGTTCCTCCATTGCATGGCATAAAGAAGCTAGGATCAGCAATTGTATAGAGGAGACTGGTGATTGTTCTTCTTTGAATATCGTTCTTATCTGAAACTTCAATGATCGAGAGATCAGAGATTGGATTAGCCTAATGACATGGCTTGATGGAGCAAAATAAGCAGCCTTCAGTTGATGACATACATGTCTGTGAATTTGATAAAAGGGTAAGTTTTCCATGAAATCCTACTACCTATATACTTTCTCAAACTAGATCTTGGACTGTTTCTTGTTCAAACAGGTGTGAAGACTAAAGATTCCCTTCTTATTGCTTTCTTTACACGGGAAGCTGTGTGGAGGAGGATCCTAACCATAGACAACCTCACTAGAAGAAGTTTTGCTGTGGTTCAGTGCTGCTTTTTATGCTTGAATGGGTGGAACCCTCGAGCCATCTTCTCCTTTTTTGTCGTGAGAGAAGAAGACTCTGGGAGTCGGTTCACAGTCTTCTTAACCTCTAATTATAGACTCATTAGGATATCAAGAAAGAAATTTGAGGCTGCTTCTTCTTCTTCTGTTGAGACTAGGACCATAGTCTAGGATCTTTAATGGTGTTGATTTTGTAGACTTCTTGTGTTCCTTCTCTCCAGAGCATTCTAAATATTCTTTTTTGTACTTGGGTTGCATCCTCTTGATGCATCTTCTTCATGTTTGATTTTATTTTTTTCTCAAAAATAAATTGTCAACAAAAACATGGACAAACGAGTCTCAATTCTTTTTTATTGGATGAAGGAACTATATAGAATACAAAGAGAATGTACAATGGAGAAGAGGATAAAGTATCCTTCATCCCTAGAGAAACAAAAAAGACAAAAAGTAATATGAAAAACCTGAGGACAAATCAGATATCCAATCCTTATGCAAAGTAGATAAACCATCCCTTAAAAATTAACTAATAAAAAAATGAGGGCTTGGCCCAGGATGAAGCAAAGAGAACAATCCCGTTGAAAACGTCTGGTTGGAAGAAAATGATGCTCGAAAATAACATTAACTAACTATTGCAAGGAATAACTAAATGAGTGAAAACATTATGTTACCCTTTGCTGCGTCCAAAGGAGTAGCACATCCATTTCCCCCTAGCTTCAAAAACTCATCTACCAATTCAGTGCTTATCTGCAGGTGAAAGAATTCAGGGAAAAAATTAATTTGAGAATTTCAAAGGTATAACTTTTGGGTCCACAAAATAATTTTTACATTGTTAAACTAAGCAATAGGCATGCTGCCAGAAAATTCACTGCTGGGAGTAACGATAAAGGGAGAAACAATTACAAAACTGTGCTACCTTGAGTCCTGACAGGCATAAAATCCCCTCTTGGTGCCTTGCAATTAATATAGCGTCACACCCATCACCCAAAAGAAAATTATTCGCAGATGGTCAATGCCATTTTTTTCTATTTTTTACTTTCTCATAAGAGAAAAAATATCATTAGAGAGAAAACTAGTAGAAATCGAATGAAAGGATAAGGTCCCCTCCAACAAAACATAAAAAGTAAAAGAAACAAGAAAAAGGCATCGAAACAAAATTGCAGCCCGATCATGCTGCAAACGGATAGAGACGCTTCCAGGGAAATAAATGTGAACCTTAGCCAAAAGAGAAGCAAAAAAACAAACACAACTATATTTTAAAGAACATGTGAAGGCTGCAACTGTTAACTTGAGATTCTGGCAAGGATGGCTTAGTGCACCAACAACAGACCCATAACCCAAGAAAAAGAACTGGGAAAAGCAAACAAACAAAAAGAGCCCCCTTTATGCAACACCTTATGCTCCTTAATCCTCCAAAACAATGCAA